AAAGCATAAATGTACGAGTAACCTGTGTAAAGACCACCTACTGTACCTGTCTATAGTTACCACTTTTAGGCAGTCTCAAGGTATAATGTACAAGCAACCTGTGTAAAGACCACCTACCTGTCTATAGTGACCACTTTTAGGCAGTCTCAAGGCATAATGTATGAGTAACCTGTGTAAAGACCATCTACCTGTCTATAGGTTACCACTTTTAGGCAGTTCCAAGGCATAATGCATAAGCAACCTGCGTTAATAGACTACCTTGCCTATCACTTTAAAAAATATTTTTGCAGATTTACCTTTGTTTAAAAACATTAATAATTAGCTCTTTATGAAACAAATTGTTGTTTCCTCAAGTCAAATTTATTGGATTTTGACTTACGGTACCATCTCATTATTTTCTGGACAAATATGTCAAATATAAGAGATCCACTGAATTAATTCAACCTCTATATAAATACCATTTCAATGAAGTACCTTGGGTGGTTGCTATACACAGGTTTGACTGTAGAGACAAGCTAAGGTTGAATGTATATTTATAAAATGTATATACATCCTAAGATCTTACACTATACACAAAGAAGAAGAATAGAAATGATTGATTTTGTTGCAGATTCACAATAAAATGGCCGTGTGGTGGACATCTGTCTTTGTGCAAAGATTGAATGAAATAGGTTTAAATCTGAGCCTGAATGGACTGACTAATCTGGATAAAGTCCAATTCACCAGTCTTCATTTTCAGACTTTGTCTAAAAATTTTAACTGGTATATGTTTACTGGTAAAAATCATTGTAGTTAAATTATAAACATTGGAAATTGACTCAAACAGAGTGGATTATAACCTTCTATGACATATTACAGAAATTTGTTTTCATTCTGTCTACAGTCATGTTTTTACATACATACTTTGGAATGGCTCCACATAGAATCATATTGGACTTTTGTCTGTTACTACCAATAACAACATTCTTCATCTGCCTGCAAAAGAAAGACAAAGTTTATCACACAAGTTGTTATTCACAGCAGATAGTACAATCAGCTCAACAAGCAAGCATTCTTGTCAACAGCAGTTCATTCCAATAACAGGCTTGTACAATGTGCACAGCTCAAGCACAACCTAGTCTAACCATTTCAACACCAGAAATTTGTCTGTACTTTATTTCTTAAACTCTTCAATATTTTTGGAAATGAACCATAATTTTGGAGCCAACAGACAAAATTTAGAACAATTTTCAGTTTTTACTTAAATTTTTGTTCTAAACTTCTGAAGGAAAGTACAGACTTTAAACAGAACTGTTTTGTAAATTTGTGATGAAAAAAGCTTGTTAACAAAATTGCCAAGATAACACAAGACTACTTGCATTTTTTTTTATTTATTATTTATATATTTTGTATCACACTCATTGTAGCCTGGAATCCAGCCATTCAGAATGCCTTCAGTTCCACTCACGAATAACCTGGTGAATCGCTACATAAAGACATGGACAGCAGAGAATTCTGTGTTATTACTGAAAGCTGTCTCTACAACTTTAGTACAATAGTATAGGAACTCGCATACGTAGACAGACCCGTATGTAAGGCCCGTTCACAGCCTCAGACCATTTCGCTTGTCTATTATACATAGATTGTCCTACGATAATAGACAACATCTAGTCTACACTTACTGCCTTGTCACAACACTTTTCTCTAGAATTTCGTTGATTGCAAACTGTCCACATTTATTTGTCAATCAGACAGTTTAAAACTAAATTTGTTATCTCATTATGAGCTTGTGACAGAGTGCAACTTCCATCTTGATTTTTATAGGAGATATTTTTTTCAGTGGCAAAGCCCAAGACTCAAACCACATTTCGTTTGATCAGCAAAGCTGTAAAGCATTCATGAACAAGCTAAGCAGGTGATTAATGAAGAATTGCACGGAGTGGCTTGTGAATACACATACATGTTGCAGGTGTGCCATGTACATCTGGGTAGAAAATTCACTAGTGAAATCAGCTACATGTATAAAAACTAGTAAAACTCCAAATTCGTCATATAACAAAATGATTTTTTTTCAGTAAATCTCCTATACTTGTACATTTACTATTAGTCAGTAAATTCCCATTACTTGAACATAACTACCTCTTTCCTCACCATTGAATCAATTACAATTCAGTTGCGTTTGTCAAATCCCATGTGATGTTTGTCATTACTACAATGATATGACCTTTGTTTGTCCTGTTTTTATGATTGATTTCACACATACCGGTAATGTGGGATCTCAAATGAACCGAAAAATGGTCTTACTATTAGATTACCTTAATGCTAGCAGTAACTGCTGTGTATCTGTTGTAGAAAGGCTGTCAACAATTATCTGACTTGGATTTACATCCTCCTACAATGAAAACAAAAAATGTGCATATAAAACTGTACCAGTAGTAACGTGTTCAAGAGCGAGTCAGACTGGAATATATTATCTGAAACATGTGTGACAGAACAAACAAATACTGCAGTTATGGGTGAATTTAGGCAATTATCTACTTACCATTAAAAGAAATAGATGTGTGTGTAAAATATAATTTAGATTACGTATCAATCTTTCAAAATGCATATAAAGAATCTGAGACACACTACGCGTCAAAAGTATTGTCGGGACGACAACATTTTATACTAACGGATTAATATAAATTGATTTTTTTTCCAAAGAAACAAAGTTTGTGATTTTAGCTAGCAAACAATATATAATTTGTTATAACAACCCTCCAAGACAAAAGAAATAGTATTGCTTCCAACACATGCCTCTGCGTCTATGGGGTTTCCCAATTAAAGTGACGTAAGAGGTCAATGAATCAAGTAAATAAACACGTGTGCGTCGCTAGGTGCATTGTCATGCTGAAACAGGAAATCTGGTCCCATAGTCTCGCGTACACTCGGTATCATGTGATTTTCTAGAATATTAAGATATTCAAATTGGTTCGTTCATAGCATTTACACACATGTCCAACACCTTTAGCACTGAAACATCCCTATATCATAACACTGCCACCGTCGTATTTTAACAGTTGGTATAAGACAATTGTCGCTGTATGATTCATGTGGTCACCGGCTAACATATACGCGGACAACGCTGCGAAACAGCTTAAACCTTGATTCATCCAACCACATAACTCGACTCCAATCCTCATAGGTCCACTGTGCATGGGTGCAGGCATAAACTATTTGTGCTTGTTTCTGGGGGTGTGTCATGAGAGGTTTTTTCTTAGCCACATATGTGTTCATGTTACTTCACATATATGTAAATATTTTTCCCGTAATTAGTTTCTATTTCATTGCGTATTCTTGGTGCTCTTTTGAACCAGGCTTGCATACTGATCCGCAAATTGTCCAGTCTTTACACACTGTTATTCCTCTTGGTCTGCCAGATCTTGGTAAATTTGCCACATTTCCATACATTTCCATTTTTGTCAGATTATAACGAACACAATTAATGTTCAGAAATCCCCAAAGAACAAGCTATTGCACAATTATTCCTCCCCGAAGTATGCTGCGCTAAAATCTGACCCTTCATAAAATCCGAAATCTGCAAGGCTCGGGCATATTCAATTGAAAACTTGCAGAGCTATCAATGCAAAGTTATGTAAAACAGAGTTACAGCTGCTAACAAAAAAATTCCTGCCCTTAGAGCCTGATTGAGTTGCATAGAATCGCGATTGGTCACTACAAATTCACAATACATGTATCATGATTACTTATAAAATGTTAAACATTGAAACAGTTATGCAAAATTTATGCTAATGGGATGACGCGCCATAGCAAAACAACAGTAAAAAAAAAAAAAACGTGTGATAAAACTATTGAATTTTCGTGTCCGTACAATCGAATGATAATGCAAAATAATGACAATGTTCATTAGAAGTGTCAGATTTATTGTATTGTGCATATACATACAATCAGAGGTACATTACTTGGGGTTTGCAATGCGCATAGTACTGTATGGTGACATCATGTCAAGATCCCATTCAAGTCTCATCTCGTAGATAGCGAGACTGGTGCTACGACCTTCTGACATGAGATAGGCGGTTTGTAATAAAATAATAAAACATGTATTACCACATTCATAGTGAAAAAATGTAATACATCGAAAATGTACTGAAAATATAGTTATCGTAATCCGTCATATCGTGAGCAGCTATTTTGATCCACCTGGACATCCCAGTATCCAGAGTTACCTCGGGCATGCGCATTCAAATTTTTCTGAGTTCGAACGCTTATGCGTGAGCGAGATTGAAACGGGATCTTGGTATCATGTCACTGTAGTTGCAAACCCCAAGTAATGTACCTCTGATACAATTCATTGTCATTTTGGTAAGAAAGTTACAGGTTTTTCAAATCGTGGGCATCTCGACAATACTTTTGATGTGTAGTGTAGCTTTGAGGCAATACCCTACATTAAAAGCCAAAAAGTTAAACACAATATGCAAGTAATTTGGGATAAATTATTAACAACTTTCTTGCAATCTAATAAATATTTTTTAATGAATTCTATTTGGATGGTATCGGAGCTAGGGAGCTTTTGCAACATGCTCTCAAAATCGTAAACTGTATATTAAAACATACAGATACAAGTATCTGCTTTGTTAGATGAACAACTCCAATAGATACACACATGAACCATTGTATTGAAGGTATAAATAAATTTATATTAGTGGGAGTGTATTTCTTCTGAGAAATGGAAATAAATACATAAAATTAATAAATAAATTTATATTAGTGAGAGTGTATTTCTTCTGAGTAATGGAAGTAGATATATACAATAAATAAATAAATAAAATATATAAACAACCTAGCAGCAGAAATATTCAATACATGCAAAACGGGATACATATTGATGAACACACTAACGTTAATACTGTATATGATAATGTTTTACTGGTAGAATTAACTACATAAACGTAGGGGATATCAAGACATGCATTTAGGTGGGATAAAAAACAAAGAAATCAAGTAAATGAAGTGAAATCGAATGTTCTGCATTTTATAAGGAAGAATGTGAGAGTATAACTACATTCAATTTAGTCAAGTTTAGTAATGCAGTAAATTTATTACCATAATCGGACAGATTGGTCAAATGTGAAGAACAGTGGAAATGCATTTATTCATCTCAGACAACTACCGTAATAAACTGGCAACGTCTATATTCAAGGTATTAATCGGCTTAATTCTACATGCTACGAGTGCCATGCTTATTTGTATTGGCATAGACACCGTCAAAGTTTACTGAACACCAGATATTCTGCACACTTCTCACTACTTCAGAAATTGTGTATTTCTTCGTAAAACATATTCGGACATTTTTAAAACAACGGAAATTTTTACCTTTGCAGCCGTGTACGAATTTTAAGAATCAACCAACATTTAGACGAGTTACAAGTAACTGAATGTCTTAGAATATACCTTGAATAGTTTTTGAATATATAATGAGCAACTTTGAAACGATATTTCTCGCTGTTGCGGATTTTGTGGAAGGTTTCGAACATTTTTTTGAGAAAGGCCTATCGCAGCATTTCGAGTAATCATACTACTTTGTGTGTTAGCAGTTTCATTTTCTGTGTTCAGAGGTGCCGAAACATTGGATAGCTGGTGTCATATACATGATATCTCTCAGCGTATCAGTGTGATCCGGTTAGCGGTAAAAACTGAGGGTGTGTTATTTTTGTCGAGTTCGACTTCATAGTACGCGATATACGAATTGTTCGTAACTATCGTCCTCAGATTTGCTAAATTCTTCCGTAAATGTAATTTTCGAATTTCGATGTGGTCATGAAGGTAATACGAATTACCCATGGAGTAATTCGCGAACAACTACTGTCGTCTGTGTCACTTTCTGAGTTTATGTCTCACAATAGTTGATTGGAATATGAATAGATCTTGCATTATTTTGTGAGATCTAATGATAATCTTGTTGTTCCACAACATTTACTAGATATGATAAGAACTGATAACCTAAACAAACGTGGCACACATTACTTCAATAGAAAACCCTGCATTGCCAGTCTGTTTATTAGTTGTCTGAGATTTAATGAAGTCACTCAAGTTATTCTGTGGCACTGTAATGCTGACTACTGCACACACACGTATTTACCTATTTCTGCAACATAATTTATAAAATAAATAGCAAGATCCATGACAGTGTTAAGTGTGTGGCTGACGACCAAAAGTAAATAACACTAACTCAAACAGAGATGTGGATCCAGGGCGAAAACTCTGTCTGATGACAATTTGTTTATATTTGCGCTGTTACGTCACATTCAGACATAATTTATGCAAAGATAGCTCGTATATCAATGTCTTGCATTTCTTATGTGCTGTTTACCGGCAGTGAACGAGGGCGGGTCATTCAAATTACATTTTTCTTACCGCACTGGTGCAATAATTTAAACGTTTGAGACACATGAAACGCATAAAAATCATAAAACTACGCTCAACATCGTATAAAAAAGGCTATACAAGAAAACATTACCACGAAAGTTCGAGAAAATTCACATTTCGAAACTATTCCAAAACAATCCATGATAAGCTTAAATCTGGTACGAACGTCCACTGGTCATTAGATCCCTGATTTTTGGTACAGTTCGATAATATCGATCAAATTTTCCATTGAACTTGTTCTACATTATTCGATAGCAACACAAATTTAACTAGCGTCATGTTTTGAACTCACCCCAAGTATCATTGACTCAATCATGTTGACAATGTAAGAGATAAAACGAACGTAACACAAAAACCACTGTCTCTCGATCAGCAGCGTGAGTTCGTTTGACCTTTTGCTTTATTTATAGCTTGTGTTTTCGCAAATAACAAACGCCGTTTCAAAAGTTGTGTTGTAATATATTTATAATGGTTATTGCGTTATATGTGTTATAAGATGATTAAACAATAAATTGAAACTGTAATCATTTTTGTATAAAAATAATTACAACTTTCCCCGAAGAGTGCGAATAAGTCATCTGCGAAAGACAGCAGTGAGGTCACGACGTCATGACACCGGGATTTCCGCGTTTGTGTTCGTGTGTGTTTTGAGTTGTGGTTGTAGCGCAATAGTAAATGGGGAACAAGTACTTCTGGTCTTAATTTCACAAGAAGGAAATCGAGTCCGGTATCAATCCAAAAAGGGATGATAAAGGATATGCAAACCAGACAGATTGGGAAAAAAACTTTGGAAATCTTAGTTAAAAATTGTACATCACATTCTTGCCACAAATTATTACTCTTTCCAGAACAAACTTCGAACTCATGATGAATATAAATATTGTAAAGAGGGAACAATGGAGCACCTATTCTGGGAATGCAAAACACAATTGGGGGAGGAATTAATTCAAAATTCAAAGAGAATTTTAAAACTACGAGAAAAAAAGTCGTTCACCAACATCAGAGAATACATTCTTCGGAATCCTGGGAATGTACTCTATTGAATTATCTCATTTTATTAGGAAAATACTTGTTATATATGAGTCATTAGACAAATTTAACTCCTTCTCTAACAGAAATGTAAATATGAAAATGAATGTTGATAAAATAATTTTACTTTGAAATGGAGCTCGCTGACTAGCTATCTGGACGACTATAATGTTCATAATGATTTGCTTTATTTAGACCCTTGTACTAGTATTCAGTGTATCGTTTGGATGTTTGTGAATGTTTAATTGTTAACCTCACGGTGAATTGCTTTTTTTCCCCCAACTCTATTTCATTGTCTTGTTTTGTAACTTCATTCAAGTGTATTGCTAGTGAAAAATAAATTGGAAATAAAAGCAGATATTGTGTAAATGCAGAATTGGGGGGGGTGCTCATTCAAAAAAAAAAAAAAACAGTGTCGAAAGAGGAATTTATTTTTGTCACCCCTTCACATAAGTACCCCCTTAGAAAATTCATCATGCGCACATAAACAAAACTGCGATATTATTAGATCATAATATAGAAAGTGTCGATAATAGTTCTAACCCCGCCCGCCCATCAAGCTTTGTAACAGCCAAAATATTGCTGGTTGAATAAATTTAAATGCTTGCAAAGTGCCAATAAATGTTCGTACTATTTTATTGATATTTTGAATGTATGATTTGAATACGTAATTTCATAATTGGCTTAAGGTGAAAAACGTTGTTATAAAAATTATTTACCCAACTAATAAAGACATGTTTGTTTTAATCAAATCCAGCATCACACACTAGCTTGGATGATTGTGTATTCTTTGGGTGTAATATCTCACATAGTACAGTTGTATAGGTGCATAGTATGGGCGCACGCTCATTTCAAGGCACAATTCAATTAATCTCTGTAAATTCGAACTTCAGATAATATAACTGAAGGGGTGGTGGTCGTCATGCAGTGCGTGTTCGAAATTCATGTTCAATCCGCAAACAAAAATGACAAACCCAGACCACGTCAATAGGAGCGACCCCCCTTACCGAATTTCTGGATCCGCCAGTGGTCGCTATGAGTCCAATATCGAACAGAGAGGAAAATACCGCGAGCTTTATCTTGGATTTTTCAAGCTTAGCAACTTATTCTCACCATTCTATATTTCTAAGTTAAAAACAAAAAATAGTTAATTCCATGTTTACAAAAAAAAATATTTTAGGGAGTGGCACCTACCCAACAAGTTGGAAATCCTCCATCTTAGTACCGGCTACACTAATCAGATGACAGGTCAAACATATCCAATTATAGAGCAATTGCAATGAATGAGATACAATTCGGATTCAGAAAAAAAAACAGACGCACAAGTGATGCAATCCTTCTTCTGAAGACAGCAGTGGAAAAAACACTGTATGGAAAAAAACTTGTGCTAAGTGTAAAAGAGTATACAGCTGTTTCTTAGACTTTAAGCGAAGCATTTGACAGTGTCTCAAGAGATGCTTTATTTCTAAAACTACAAAAAACTGGCATAAATGGCAATTTCTACAACATAATTAAAGGACTTCCCTGGTATATTCGGTGAAAATGTGGATAAACCAATCATGAGTGACACTATTCCTCTAAATTTCACTCAGTATGCGGATGACCTGGCAATTATTTCGAACGCAGATGTCTACAAAACTGCCTGAACAAACTAAATGATTTCTGTACAAAATGGTACCTAAATGTCAATGTTAAAAAAAAGTGGTCAGATTTAACAACAGTAATATTAATTTCAAAATAAATAATGAAGAGGTAACATCAGTTAAGGAGTTTTGTTATTTAAAAAACATTTTCACCGTGACACCAAATGGAAATTTTAAAAATAATTAAGTAAATTCTAAAAAATATAGCTAGGAAGGCATTATCTCGGGGCATTTTTTAGTACACGTCACACTATACTAAATCATAAAATGATCTCTACAAAACTCATCTCTCCAATTTAGTGTATGGGTCAGAGATTTGGGCCAAGGAAATTACAAATAAAAACACTTACTTGAAGCAAGCATGGCCGCTTTACCGGTTTATTTTAGGTGTTAGTACAAATGTAAAGTAACATCATTGATTGGTATTGGTGCAGTTGTGTAATAAAGTTATTATTAATGTATTGTGATAGCTAAACAACATCCCCACACTTTGTAATACACGCGTGGGCTGATACAATTTAGAAATGTTTACTAAGTAAACACATTGCAATCCCGTCGGGCTATTTGACGAGCACTTTCGAGTTGCAGAGGAGGAAACCCGCCAAATGGTCAGTACGCCCTCTATGGCGAAACAGTCCAGTAAGCTGCCATTTTGAACATCGATTGTAGTAAACTGACTGTCGGCTGTGTGTAGTAGACTTTACTCTGTGTCGTCGCTGGTAATCCATTTTAAAGGTAAGATGAACATATTTTTACGGGGTCAAATAATGCAAATGTTGCAACAGTACTCCTGCAAAATTATCAGTTGTACGGGACAGTGAATGACATTTTCAATAACATGTTGGATGAATACAATACGGTACTCACTGTATGGGTTTCGCTGATATTACGTCCCGGTAGCATATAAAGTTTACGAAACCCTATGTCACAGTCCATCAGTGTTGAGGGACTGTGCCTATGTCAATACCTGGTTCAATACTGTCATGTGTACATGCAAAAAAGCTGCTAAACTGCGGTGGTGTGTAACCCCCTGCAAGTAGTATGTAGTGATATAGCAATGCGCAGTGGTAAATCCTGGATCGTTGTCTTAATGAGAAGTGGTCCAGAAGATTTGCAGAAGAAGTGGACCAGTGAGAGAAGTGGACCAGAAGATTCGCAGAAGTGGACCAGTGAGAGAAGTGGACCAGTTAATTTACAACATCCTTGATGAGTGTGTTGTGTGTTATTTCTGACTTACTAATATCTTGAAAATATGTTCTTAATATTTCTCTTCTTCTAATAATAATAATTCTATTTTCAGTAGGTATTTTTGGTTGCACATGCTTTTCTTTTTCTATTGCTAAATTGACATTACTAGTTCGACATTTTTTCATTGAAATTCTTTGGTTCAAATTCAATCAACACATCCAAGTATTTTTCAAAATGCTAAGAGTCTTTGAATTTCTCATAAGTTCTCAGTTTTGTTTTTTCTCCAGAAATTGATGTATTTTTGTTTGACAACTTTGCCAATTTTATTTGCTGTATTTGTTTTATTTACAATGATTACTAGTATACTTTACTTTTCCAGTGTTAACAAAACCACAATGAAAAATTGTCTTTGCTCACTGAACGTGTCTCACTGATGTGTAAAGTGATGTACTCTTGGAATATAAAACATGCCATTGTAACATTTTAAAGTAACTCAACAACTATTCCTGACTAGATCTCCAAAAATTTTGTGACATTTAAGGTATACATGGTATTTGTACACTAAAATAATAACATTTGATTTTTGAGGAAATGTTGTGCACCATGTGTTTACATAACACTTTTCATGAAGGTGTGAAGTCTCTCATTGTCAAATGGACAAGTCATTCAACTGCTGAACTTTAATTTTCCTACAAGTACATAGTTAAAACAGGAATGTGCTTGTAGTTTTAGTTTTTTACCCAATAACTGTGAAATACATTATTTTAGCTGGAATTATTTTCTTTGAAAAGACAGTTTTGGTGTTTTGTATGGAATTTATTTTCACTGGTTTTTCGCAGGATGAATTTAAAACAAAGGAGAAAAAGTATATTCGATTTTATTTTCATTGATTCAAGTGAAAGCAAAAATATTTGACAGTAACACTTGAGAGGGAGTGACAAATTGTTGTCATGTTTTTTCATTAGTTTTGCTGTCAACTTGCATGTAAAATAATTTACTATGTCACCTTTGTTTAAACATGCGTCAAATAAAATACTTTGTTTTTGCATCATGAGTGTTTACCACCAAACACAGTCCCTCTATCCAAAGTAGTACTGTAGTCTAGTCTTTGTATCTCAATTTAGCCTCTGCCATGTTGATTTAACAATGAAAAGATTAACACCTTTATTATGTTAATTAGCTTTTTCCAAAGTACATGTAGATTTCCAGATACATGTATACTGTAAAATATTTTATTTTCGCTTTTGGAATTAATTTTCGCTATTTTTCGCTGAAGGAATAATTCAATGAAAATAAAATCTAGCGAATATTCCTTTTCTCCTATATTTTACATTCAACTCAAAAAAAATCAGTGAAAATAAATTCCATACAAAACACCCAAAAAGTTCTTTCAGCGAAAATTAATTCCAGCTTAAATATTCTACATGTATTCTACAGTACTACAATGTTTGGTCGTTGCAATATACCCTGTTTGGTAATCACAGGTCTATTAAATTCATATGATTGTGAGCACGATATCACTTTAATTGTGAACTATTTACTTGAACAATGATTCACAAAAGTAGTTCCGGCCATGTAGTGTGGATCATGTAGCTCCTTGATCAGACGATGTATTTTTGAAGTTCTCATCTAAATAACTGGTAGTTTAGAAGATTGTACAATATTATCTATTCCTTTCTTCATTTAGAAAAAAAAATTGCAAAAGAAGTAACCATGAAAATTGCTATAGAAGGCTGCGCCCATGGGGAACTAGAGAAAATCTACGCTACGATTCAAGTTTTAGAAAAGAAAGAAGGTGTAAAAGTGGATTTATTGTTGTGTTGTGGTGATTTCCAGTCTGTTCGGAATGACTCTGATTTACAGTGTATGGCTGTACCACCTAAGTACAGAGAAATGGCTTCATTTTACAAGTGAGTTGAAGGGTCAGGCATATATTGTATGCCACAATTGGTACAGTGAAATGGCATTTTACAAGTAAGTTGAAGGGTCTGCCCATATATTGGGTATGCCACAATAGTACAGAGAAATGGCATTTTACAAGTAAGTTGAAGGGTCTGCCATATAGAGTATGCCACATCGGTACAGTGAAATGGCATTTTACAAGTAAGTTGAATGGTCTGGCATATATTGGGTATGCCACAATAGTACAGAGAAATGGCATTTTACAAGTAAGTTGAAGGGTCTGCCATATAGAGTATGCCACATCGGTACAGTGAAATGGCATTTTACAAGTAAGTTGAAGGGTCTGGCATATATTGGGTATGCCACAATAGTACAGAGAAATGGCATTTTACAAGTAAGTTGAAGGGTCTGCCATATATTGGGTATGCCACATCGGTACAGTGAAATGGCATTTTACAAGTAAGTTGAAGGGTCTGCCATATATTGGGTATGCCACATCGGTACAGTGAAATGGCATTTTACAAGTAAGTTGAAGGGTCTGGCATATATTGGGTATGCCACATCGGTACAGTGAAATGGCATTTTACAAGTAAGTTGAAGGGTCTGCTATATATTGGGTATGCCACATCAGTTCAGAGAGGAGTTTACAGTTGTAAAATGACAGGTAGACAGGTGGCTGGTGAAATCCTGCTTGCAGGTTTGTGTTAACCACTGAGGAGGGTGTCTGGTCTATTAATTAACTCCTATAGCTTGGGACAAAAAATGGATTCACATCATTGGTTTATATCTGGACCTATAGTAAATTATTATTGGCTCCAAAGATTAGGCCTAAATACTTGGCTCAAATCTAGACCTAAATCTTTGGCTTGACTCTAGGCCTACTTCTTAGGCTCAAATCTAGGCCGAATTCTTAGGCTCAAATTTAGACCAAAATCTTTTTGGCTCAAATCTAGGCCGAATTCTTAGGCTCAAATTTAGACCAAAATCTTTTTGGCTCAAATCTAGGCCTAAATCATTTGCTCAAATCTAGGCCTAAATCATTTGCTCAAATCTAGGCCTAAATCATTTGCTCAAATCTAGGCCTAAATTATTTGCTCAAATCTTGGCCTAAATCATTTGCTCAAATCTTGGCCTAAATCATTTGCTCAAATCTAGGCCTAAATCATTTGCTCAAACCCAATCCTTAACCATTATGTTGTCAAATCTAGGCCTAAATTATTGGCTCAAATCCAGACTTAAATCATTGTTTTTGATGTCTCTTGTATACCGGTAGTATTCATTTGAATTTATTTTGTCTGTATTATTTTAGATATTATTCCGGTGAGTTGACTGCTCCTATATTAACGATATTCATCGGAGGGAATCATGAAGCATCCAATTATTTATCTGAGTTACCTTATGGTGGATGGGTGTGTCCTAATATATATTATATGGGTAAGTAATGGGTTACATTTGGTGGATGGGTGTGTCCTAATATATATTACATGGGTAAGTAATGGTTACATTTGGTGGGTGGGTGTGTCCTAATATATATTACATGGGTAAGTAATGGTTTACATTTGGTGGATGGATGTGTCCTAATATATATTACATGGGTAAGTAATGGGTTACATTTGGTGGATGGGTGTGTCCTAATATATATTACATGGGTAAGTAATGGGTTACATTTGGTGGATGGGTGTGTCCTAATATATATTACATGGGTAAGTAATGGTTACATTTGGTGGATGGGTGTGTCCTAATATATATTACATGGGTAAGTAATGGGTTACATTTGGTGGATGGGTATGTCCTAATATATATTACATGGGTAAGTAATGGGTTACATTTGGTGGATGGATGTGTCCTAATATATATTACATGGGTAAGTAATGGGTTAGATTTCTGTCTAGTCTGCAAAACTAATTAGTCCAAAAATACTTTTAATTTGGGTGTGGTACATCTGTCTGTCCTTCCATGGCCTGTGTCATGTCTCATACATATCTGGACCACATTTTTTTGAATATTCAAAGATTCATGTCAACAACCAAGTATATCTTGTTTCAAAAGTTTAAAATGTTCCCCTGGTTGCTGTTGCTAGTAAAATTATGTGTGCTAAATTTCTCAAATGAAATGAACGTTTTTCCAGGTTTTGCCAGTATCGTAAAGTATGGTGGTATTCGTATTGGTGGTCTGTCAGGTATATACAAACACCATGACTACAAGAAAGGCCATTTTGAGAAACCTCCCTTCTCTCCAGATACTATGCGTAGTATTTACCACATAAGAAATTTAGAAGTTTTCAGACTTAAACAGGTAAGTGATTTGCTGACATTAGAATACAGTATACACATTAATATCAGGGTTCAGTATTTATGTAAGCAATGCAGGTATTTGTCTAGTAAAATATTTTTTTCACAATTTTTTTTTTAAATGGATGGTGAGTCATTAAATGTAGTTAGCTACCAGCAATTAAAACAGATTTCTATTGTTTTTACAACATTATTTTATTTCATGCTTTTGTTCACAAAACAACTTCACGCGCAAAAAGAAGTTAAATCCGTGGAAATTAAAACCAATGGTAAAAGGGTCTCGTCATATCGCAAAATTTTATTTGGTTGACAAAATCTCATTGCAATAAATGGGTGAACTTATTTTTGTATATTTGTCTAGGATTCTTTGAAAATTCTGATGAATACAATTTATTTTTTGTGGAATAATTCTTTTACATGAATTGAATTCCAATATTTTTTGCATTTTCCAGACTGGTTTTCTTCAAAAATACATTTTGTGTATGTAAACATTATGAACAGTTGATGACATGTGTCCTAGTGAATGATAATGTGACACTGTTGCAACACAAAGTTGTGATAATTTGTTTGCCTATATTTATTAGTTTAAATGTCTGTATAAAACCTTACAGTGGATATGTGAAAACTTTCGTATTTTTCTTATATATTATGAAAACTGTACATTCAAGTTTCACTGCTAGAAATGTTGGTGATTTCAGGATTTCATGAATGTCACTGTCACTCTGTTTCTTAGGACTGCAAAAAAAAATTCCACAGCTACAACATTGTACAATTCTCTTTGTCTCTTGAGAAATTAAATTGGTTTACAGTGTTTATGCTATATATTTTGACAGATCAAAGATTCATTGGATATCATGATGTCACATGACTGGCCAAGAGGTATTTATCACTATGGCGACACGGATTCACTGTTACAAAGAAAACCTCATTTCTCTGGAGAGATAGAAACAAAGAGATTAGGTGAGGTCTATACATCGATAATATGTCTCTATTTTCTGTAATTTTCTGGAAAAGTTGTATTGCTTACTGGTTTGTATGATTACATTGCCCACATTATAGTTGAAGAAAAGGGATATGAGGGGGAAAATGTCAATTTTTTTTTCTTCTTCAGATGTAAACTTTTTTTTCTTGTAATTACTAGCATTCAGACAATTTTTTTTCCAATTCTTTTCAAACTGAGATAATTACTAGAATCACTCTTGACTATCCATGTGAGTGTATGTATCTCCACTTGTGTCTATGACATGGCTGGACCAATCACGTAAAAACTTCACGCATATATTATGCCTCGTTTGAAACATGTGTACAGCCATTTGTTTCACGATCCAAATCAAGATGGCCAGATGGCGATCATTTATGTTCTAAAATTTCATCAAAATAA